AGCTGCCCCTATCTCATGGTTTTTCACACCAGCATCCTCTTCCATCACCCCAAGGGATTTTAACAAATGACCAGAACGCTCAGGCAAGCTGCTGCCTATGCCTCTGGCTAGACATTTTGGATCTGCCTGTGTCCTGGGCCAGAGAGAGATCTTACAAATCCAGTGTCTCTTTTATTCAAAGTCCCCGCATCACAGACAAACCTCTGTCCATCCTTATAGCAGCTTACTACTCTGCTCTACAATGTGATCTTCAAACGCTCCACTGGCATCTGCCAGAAGTGCAACATGATATGAAACCCCTGATTGCCAGACAGCTCCTTCATCTCTCCGTGACAAATAAATCTTCATGATAAATCCAAGCTCTCCAGTGTCACCTCTTATATATAGACAATCAAAGAAGCTAAGGTACACCAAGTAGAAGTGTGAAGACAAGGCACATGAGTCAAATTACATTTAACCTCTGTTTTAGTACTTTTATCTATCAGAAATCATTTGTTACATGTTTTAACTTTACTCCCTGATTCATGTTAGGGTTTTTTTCAAGTGCTTCTCTACTGTGCTGAACTCTCCCCCCCCTTCCAGATTGAGCAATTCCTCCAGGAACACACCAAACAGATGGGCATCTCATGATGGAGGGTTTAAGCAAACTGGGATCCAGCCAAATTCAACAGGGGCTCAGACAGCTTCTGAGGCAAGGGACCATATCTCTACACACTCCAGGATACTGTCACCATAAAGACACAAAGAGACAATCAGAGCTGCCAGCAGGATTTCTGGCTGCACGCTGGGTAAGTACTGCTACAGCTCATCACACACGTGAGAGGCAGCACCAACCAGAGACCAGCTTGCTGCTCAGCAGGTGATTGCAATATGTATTTGTGTCATCCCAACGGTGTCCTTGTTTCTAGTAACGAGACAGCTGCAAGCCTGCAAGCAGCAACTGCTGCAGGAGAAGGTCTTGGGCTCTGGCTTCCCTGGGAGATGCTGCCTGGATAATACCCAAATGAAACCAGGAGCTCATCAGGGTGGCTGAAAACATTAATCTCATTGCAGTACAGTTTAAAATGACTGGTTTTAAATTGCTTTCCTCCAGTCTGAGCAATTACATGGTCGGGGAAAGGTGCAGAAGACAGCCAAATCAAGGAAAGAAAGGAGATCATTCCTCCACCTTGTACAGGACAGGAGTCCAACAACAGAGGGAGAGGAGACAGCAGAAGAAAGCAATCCCTCAGCAAAAGGGGTGCCCGATTGAGCAGAGAAATTGAAACTGCACCTAGCAGTGGGAGGATGCTGGGGGCTGGCAGCACCCAGGATCACTCCTGGGAACACGGCACAGCTTCAACCATCTCGCCTTGCTGCCAGAAGCAGCATGCTGGGGCTGGGGGAAGCCAAGGGCTCTAACTATTGGCTACTAATGTCAGGCTGTGCTCAAACTATGTGAAACCTGCTCATCAGTGTCCTCCTCCGTGGTACCTACAGCAGCAGCAGGCAAACATGCCACAGGAAAGCAGACACCTGGTAATGAGACAGCCATCAACCACTTGTTATCTCTCTTTGATTACCTCCTTAACTCAGTCAAGAGATAGCATGCTTTATTTTTGTCCTTGCTACTGAATCAGCATCTTCAGTTCCTGGGAGGCTCTCCTGCTGCTGGTGGTGCACACGCAGAGAGCCAGTTCCACCGTGGCCAAGCAGGACCCGAGGCCAAAACGCTCCCAGTCTGCTCAGCACTTTCCCACACCCCTTGTGTCTCCTGTCTCAGCCTTGTCAGCTCCTGCGTATGCTTCTGAACACACCTTCCTACAACCAGTCCTTGGCAGATCTTGTGACCAGAAGGTAACAATGCACTTCCTACATGATTGCTTCATCTTGAAACACTCCTAGCCCATATCTGTCAAGTGGGTAGGAGAGGGACCTTTGATCCCTCTTTCCCCAAAAAATGTTAGTACAACATCTGTGAAAGGTAACGTCATAGGAAGCCTCAGAAAGTCAAGGGGGGTTCGGTTCAGACCCCAGTGTGACCCAGAAGAATGAAGCAAACAATCTCTTGGCTCTGAAAGTCCAACCTTAAAATCAGAATAGCTTGAAAGATCAATGAATTGAACCATTTTAGCTCTAGCAGAGATTTACAGCAGGTCTAACACTCACACACCGACAGTTCACCATTCGTCAGAGTTCCCAGTTTATAAAGAGAAGGTGGATTCACAACCAGAAGAAATTGCTCCGAACACCCTGCTTCACTTTGCAAGTTGGATCCCAGGGACCCACTCCCAACACCTGGGCCTGGAGGGCAATGCTCTCAGAAACAAGCATTCAGGGGTCTACCCCAAGGTCCCAAAGAGGAGAAATAGAACACAAGTTATGAGGTAATCAATTTTCCAGGACCGTCCCTATTTTGGCATACCTCATGCACAAGCACACAATGCTGACACTCAGCAGGGAAAAGCAGGTCTTGTGCTCGCCCCGACACACGCACCAAAGGCTGAATGATTTTCCTGATTTGTGTTTTGTTTTAACCATGCCCCATCTCAGAGAGGCTGTGGGTGTGTAGCAGCCAGTGGTAACCTGGCTACCAACCCCTTCAGCTTTGCTTCCTCTTAGAAATGAGGGCAAATCTCTATTTTTTTTTATTTTTTTTTTTCTGGCTAGGAGCATGTGATGCTCAGACAGGGGTTTTCTACTGACAGTGTATCATATCAGGCACCAGACAAGGAGTCATCTCTAACACACATGCACACAGGCAGGTCTCCCAGGTAGTCTAACACTCTAACTGACCTTCTCCTGCCTTCAGGCATAAAGATATCCAGTGACCATTCACCGGCTTCAATAAATTCTGACAAACAAATCAGTATTTGTCCCTAGAACACTCCCTTGCTGAAGTGGTTCCCAGGCTGCCATTTCCCAGCATCACCCTCAGTGGGACATACCCTCCTGACCTTCTCTCCTCCAACCCAGCTCCAGTCCCCTCCAAGGGAACAGCCCTGCACCAAGGAGGGGTTTGATCCAGCCTGTCCCCTGCTGCCAACAGACCCTCAGCAAACTCCACTCACTCACAACCCCGCATTGCCCTGCCCCATCGTTTCCAAGTTCCTCACACTAGAGAGCAAAATCAGGAAAGTTTTCCACTATGCACCTCTCACCACAACGAGCACAAACTCTGATAGCGTTTCTGCAGCAGGGAGCAAGCCCTCCAAACTCTGCGTTCACCCTGGACAACACAGATGCAACAGCAGCACTGCTCCCAAGGCAAATGCATCAGACCCTCCGCTGCCAGTAACTTACTCAGGACTACAAGAGCTACTTTTTGCCTTAAAAAAGGACCAAACACAAGAACTTACGTGCACGCAAACTGGATCCTGGTCCAAGGCAATGCGTGGTGGCTGAGGCTGAGCAGAGAGGATGCTGTGAGCCATGCCGGTGTGGCAGACCCTACCTCGCACCGGAGACGTTCACATCAGGCCATTTAGCACAGGAACAAGAGAACAGGAGCAGCAGGGAAGACTGATTTCCTATCAAGTCCTCTGTCCCCTCAGGAGAGTGGTGTCCATCGGCATTGTTACATGGCACTTACAGCCACAAACACAGGCTGCAAGGACAAACTTTTCAGCCAGCCACCAGCCCGGCTGCTGCTGCTGGTGCTTTTGCTTCTCTGGCAAGAAACCACGAGCTTTTTCTAACCTCCTCCCTGCTACCAAACGACCTGCACCTGCAGTTCATGGAGAACAGCTGGAAAAGGTTGAGCTCAAATGAAAGGGGGGAAGGAGAACATCTTTGCCAAGGGACCTCCTTCATCTTGGACCATGAAGGCTCCCAACCAGCAAACAGCAACTTGTCTGTCCAGCCAGTCCCTCCTTAGCCCTGGGAGTGGTCACAGTCCAAGAAGTTTTGCCACCTCAGCAATGCTCGCTGCCAAGGGCATCTTAGCAAAAGGACCAACACTGATCATAGAAAAGAAAAAAAATTTTAAATCAATTCCAGTAGAAAAATAATTTAATAAAGGGACAAGTTTCAAGAAAATATCTGTATAGTAACAACATTTTAAGTAAAATGTCCACAAAAATATACATGTCTAATGTGTTTATACATAATTTTTCAGACAGGTGCTGTTTTAAACTTGGTTCAGTCCACCTAGGTTTCCATCTAGGAAAACCTTAACTGCTATCAGTGACTACCTGGGATGTATCAGTTTGCACAACAGAATCATACAAGAAATGTTTTCTAACTCGTTTCCCATTTTAGGCTCATACAAATAAACTTTAGAGTTGGTAACAGTCCAGAAAAAATCAGATTAAACCATGTAATTAAAAAAAACCCCAAACAAACAAACAAAAACAACCACAAACAAAGCAAACAAACATCAGCCACCTCAGGGACACTGCAGGGTAGAAACATCAGCCCTGCAACACACACCACACTTAACGCTGACACAGCTGGAAAAGGAGAGGGATGAAGGAAAGATGGGCAAGAGAGAAGGGAAAAATCCCAGGAGGAGGATTCCAGGAATGGTGGAACTGATAAAGGAGCAGCCTAAAGAGAGGCCAGGGAAAAGCACACAACAAACCAACATATTTCTAGAAACCGGACAGTTTTGTAACATAGAAGATAAGCTAACTGCAGGAAGACGAAAAGGAATCAGTGGAGATTGTTTATTTCTTATTTTTCAAAATAGCTCCCGAGCTGTAGAGATAACAGCTCTGTCCCAAAGAGCCAACCAATAGTGCTAATTCATCTGAACAGCTCCAAAACTGAGATACTTCCAGGAGAGAAAAATCCGGTTACAGAAATTGAAGGATGCAAGAGTACAGTAGAAAATAAAGAAAACATGTTCCACCAGCAGACCTCAGGAACAAAACACTGAAGAGCAGATGATACATCCCCAAGATACATCAGTTTTGCCAAAGGGAGATGTACATTGCAACAAAAAATTCAACAAACAAAAAGAACAGAAGCCCATCCCATATAAAGAAAATGGAAAATTGCTAAAGAAATAAAAGGACACATTTTTCCAAAAGATTTTTGTTTTATAATCAAATTTTTTTTTACATAGACAACTGAAACACACCAGTATTTTGTGCGAAAAATATTTTTAAATAAACTTTGCTCGTTCTTGATTTTTGTACATTCTGATATACATATGTAACAAGGTTTATGGCACTGTAACCAGGATCAAAAATCATATAAAGGAACAAAATAATTGCTCTCATTTATCCTTTCTGAACCAAGCTGGCTGCCATTGCACTAGTAGACTTTAAAAATTATTATCTTATTATTAGTGGGCAGCCAACTCTAACTGGTTTGAACACTCAAAACAAACCCCAAATTATTATTGCACAAGAAGCCAGTGAAGGCATATGGCATAGAATGATTAAAGTCCCTTGCTGTTAAAACCTTACAGCCCAAAATAGAAAAATAGAACTAGAACATGAAACACGCCAAATAAACTTTTTTTTTTCTTCTTCTTCTTCAGTTTGAGTCAGGAGTGTGAAAAGTGCCTTGCAGACTTTTTAAGCTGCTCCGATTTCCTTTGCATCAGTGAGCTTTTAGCTAGGTTATCTTTAGCAAAGCCTTTGCAGAATGAAGGCCCTTATGTTTCAGGGCGTTTTTTTCTGCTTTGTGTTGTCTGTTTGTGTTTTGTCGTCAACTTAGGTTTCTTCAGTCTATGAACCTGCACAGACTACTTAGCCATAAACTCTACAAGTAGCTGGAGAGGAGGGAAAAGTAAAAAGAAAAAAAAAAAAAGCCTAATATTTCTTCTTCATGTTGTTTTGATTTTAAAAGTTACTCCTTTTGCCCCGAAGCCTCCCTGCTCTGCCGGCATTTGGGAAGGAAATCACAACAGCATCCCAAACATGGCAAAGTTCTTGGATTGCTTTTAAAAACCTTTCCTTACAAAAAAAAAAAGTTTTTATTCACAAAAAGTTTGCCACAAAACCCCCCTTGAAAGCTAAAAAGAAAAACCCACAACCCACCCGTCACTGCCCCAAATCAGGTGAAGAATAGGTTAACCCCTTCATCGACCACCTCCCGGCAGCTTCGCTGTCACACGACAGTCTCTACGCCAATGAGCTTTGGTGTGAGGATGCGTGGTGTAACACCATTGTTTAGATCTTCTTCGAACTCCAGTAACTGCCCCATAAAGTTAAGGTTAGGGGAAATGATTGGTCGTTTGCCTTTAACAAATTTATAGGCATCCGTCATGGTCATTCGCGTGTGCTTCATTAAGTACGCGATAACTATGGTGGCAGATCGGGAGACACCAGCCTGGCAGTGGATGAGGAGACCTTTTCCACACTGATGAGCTTCCTCTGTAAACGAGAGAGACAGAAGAAAGTAAGATTTTTGCCGGTTTGTAAATTAGAAAAAGCTCAGTGCAATTAAGAGTAACCGAATGTGAAAAGCCCCCTTATTTGATTACAAGCACAGCAGCATCTCCTCCCCTTCCACTCCAGTCCATCTTCCTTTGGGGTTTCAGACATACTGAACACAAAAGGCACAGGCCAGTCTAACACTAATAATGTTTACATTCACTTCTCCCTATTAGATGAACTGCACACGGAGAGACACTGCTGTGGTGCCAGGGACCACCTTGTTTAGGAGGTCCAGGCCCCTGACGAGGCCGGTGGGACTCCATCTCTGCCTCTGCTGCAACGTCACTGTGCTACAGCAGCATCTCAACCTCCCTGTCTTTCAAAGCAGGACACCACCCTCTCAAAAACAGGTATTTTCAGATTCTACTCATAACAATACATCTGTTTCAAAGCCCTATTGAGCTCCTGGAACCACATGCTGAAAGGACACAATAAAGAGTCACTACCATACCATCCTCCTCTCCCACAGCTTGCTTTTAAAACAGAAGATAAACTGTCAAGATGGGACACTTCAATCTGTTTCTTTTGTTTTAATCTGTAGAAGGAGCATGAATTTAGCTTGCAAGTTTTGGCATGAATCCAACCCCACCAAGAGTATGGTTCATCTTACCCCACATGTACAACCTGAGTTGGGAAAGCGTAAGTGAAGCCAACTTCCCTCTGGCCGTTTTTGCCAGTTAGTATTTCATAAAGCTGAAACTCTGTAACGCATTTTGACACACTTTCCCAAAGAGTTTTTGATGATTTCACTTCCTATGGCTTTAGTCTTAGCTAAACCTGGGTTTGGTTGTGGTTTTTTCAAGATATATTTAAAGAAACACAGGGCAATGAGCTGCTGTCTAAATATTTCCAAATCTTCTCAAATGCAATTTAAAGTGTACCCTGAGGAAGAGAAAGCTTTGACTAGTTACTTCCCCAGCTGGCTAAATTTGCTATGGAGAAAAACTCTCAATGGAGAAATATTTGTTTGTTAAAACCAAACGCAGACCCTCAAGCTGTAATTATTAAAAAAGAAAGTAATATGGGTTTTGAAACATTTTCTAACCCTTTTTAGAGTAAGGCTGCTTTTTCTGCCCTTGTTAAGGTCATAAGCCAAGCACTATCTTTTAGTGGTTTTGAGAGTTCTAATCCTGCAGTTCATAGGGATGCTGGGTGAAGAAATCCCCCTCCCACCCCAAAAAGGATCTCAACAGAGCTTGGCAGTTTCTTATTGTAAGTTTAACCTATTGCATCTTGTTGAATTCAAAGTTTAAGACTTTACTGCATTTCCTGACCCAGCTTTTCTCCCCAAGGGATCAAAGTGAAGTTTCTTCTCCCTTGCCCTCAGAGAGGCATCTACCCCTTCCCTTCACCCAAAAAGGGGCCTTCACCTTCCCACGCACACAGCAATCCACAGTCCGGGGAGCTGAGGCTGGGTTAGGAACCCTAGGGAAAATTTGGTTGTAAGTAGAGATCCTTTGGTCCGTTACACTGTGGAGGACAAGCCCAAAGGCTCCTGGTGGAAGCTCTCCCCCTCCTGACCCGAGAGCCACAAACACTGATGGTCTGAGCGCAGGGAGGAAGACAGCTCTGCATCCACTTCAGCATGGGGCCAGCAAAGGACCTAAGCTGTGACGCAGCACAGAAGCTTGCTTCCTTTGTCTAGCCCTCCACCATCAAGGCTGAAGTACTGGTAAAGAGATTAGCCCAGCCTGAGCACAAAAAAATAAAATTATATATGAGTGGTCCTCCCAGCTTATTTTAGAAAGCCTCTCAGGACACATACTTGTTCTGGGGAAGCAGAAGTGGCCATTACCTATGCTGCAAAAGCTGTGCCCAAAGACAGAGGGACAAAGGAAGGTCCTCAAAAGCTGTCAGTACCACATGGGGATGTCCTCACTGACCAGCCCTGCTCAAAGAGGCCACGTGGCTTTAGCCCAGATGACAAAGCAGTGCTGAACGCACCCCTAAACTTGGCTGAAGTGCGGTGTGGATCACAGCGAGGTTCAGAGCTACGCGGGTAACGCTGCTGGGTCATTTCTTCAGCAACCTCCCCAGTAAGCTGCATGTCTGTGGTGAACTCTCTCACACAGCCTACAGGGTTTAGAGGCTTATTAATACAAGTTTTCCTCACAATCCACTCATCCACACATGCACCCCGAAGTTATCCATCTAATGGTAGAACAAGTGAAGTGTGAAAGTTTGTCAGTTTTCTCATGAAATTAAGTCAGGAAAGAGTCAGCCATCATTAAGAGGAGTTCCTATGAAAAACTGGCTGAAAGCCACAGCAGAAACTAGGAACGCAAAGGAATCAAGAAGGGATGACAAAAGTCTGGTTTTCTGGGGTTTCCTGAATTTGGAGGCCTGGAGGTAGGCATTGCTATCAGTGGATAAAAACTGTACCCCCAGGCTACTTAACTGGATACGCCAGAGATGAGAATGAGTAGAAACGTGAGGTGCTCAGCATTTCTGACAACCTAAACCAAAGTAAATATGGCCTTACACAGCCTTCAGGGTAGTTAGCGAAGCATAAAATTCACTCTAGATTCTTACAACAGGTAAAAAAAAACAGGAGTATTTCCAGTCAAGAATAATTACCAATGAACTCAAAAGCCTCTTCAAAATACTGCCTGAGATTCTGCTTGTTGCTGTCAGTGGCCGGGAGCCGCTTGTAGTTGAACAAGCCTTTCTCGTAATGGTACAGGGGCAGGTGGGTGGTCACATTGATTACGTAGCCTATGTTCATCCTCTGCATTTTCTCCAAGTCCTGAGCATCGTGCTCATTTCCGAGGAAGAGGAAGGGCAGGATAGGGGTGAGCTCAGCGTTCTCGATATCTGGTGTGGTGGGGACGGACTGAGGTAGCGTGGGGGGCACGGCGGACGCACCACCACCTCCTCCCCCCTCCGGGCACTCTTGCAGCTGGAGGGAGTTATCACAGAGGTTTTCATGGTTCTGCTTGAAACCGCTGAGTCCTCCTGGGAAAAAACACCAAGCAGATATTTTGGTTAGACACCCTGAGGTCAGCAACACTTTGGACCCACCTTTCTTCAGAGCACATGCTGGGGCCACCAGGACTGGAGCTGGCTCTGTTGTCCCTACCACCATCACAGTTACCAACACTGGGCACAATCGGCAACAGCAAGGGTGGCATGAACCAGCAGCACCCATTGTCCTCCCCTCCACAAAGCCAACGGTGCCAAGGGACTGGCTCATAGACAAACACACCTCTGTGCAACACCACTGTGCAGGGGCTGCCTCACCTACAAGCCCGTGGGAAGAGGAGGAAGACAAAGGGCATTTTTCCAAGAAAGAAAATGTGGCTAAAACTACGAGAAAATGGGCTAACCAGCACACCAGAGCAGGGAGTCAGCTGGGACAGTCTTTTAGCTTTACTTGTCCACAGCAGATTTGCCTGTGTCGTGCAGGGCATCTCCCCATCCAACACCCGGGCATCGCTCCGGGGAACAGTACCTACATGTTTGTGCAGCCAAACAAAAGAAAACTGTTCCTCGTAAACCAACAGCGGCTGAGGTGCTCACTTAACATGTGGCAAACAGCTCTCCTTTTTTTTCTGCCCTAGTTGCCTGAAAATATCTAGCAAGAGTTATTTTTAGGACATTAATATGGATTGGGAAATGGATCCAAGGGGGGAGGGAGAAGTCAGTTTTTTGGCTTGTGCCTCCCCTGGCTCTATTGCACATTTTTCTGGCTTCTTAAAACTGCATTTTCCCCCCGCACCTCCCCCCTTTTTTTTCCTTAGGAGGGCGGCTCTGCAGAACTGGAGTGAGAAAAGCAGACCTCCTTTCTACACCTCATTCGGCAATTACATCAGCCCCAGGCTCCCCACCTGCCCGGTTTCCATAGCGATTACACAAAGCACACAATGACATCAGCTGGCATGACATCAGCTCTTTGAGCGCAAACAATACAAGAAGAACTACTTTGTGTTAAGGCCTTTGGTAGGAGGCAGCGTTCCTGGGAGCCACTGATGTAACGCTAACAGGTGGCTCCTCCAAAAGAAAAAGGCGGAAAGAGGAGAAATACGATGATATATCCACCGCCTCGCCCACAAAAGCACACGTTTGTGTCGTACCAGGACATTCGGAGTCATGCACCGCATCGAGACGGGCCAAGTGTTCAGACTCAATTGCACTTTGTTAAATGCAAGCCAAAAAAAAAAAAAAACCCAAACCAAAAAAAAACCCAAACAACTAGGAGGGGGCAGAGCTATGCTGAAGTTACTCGAAAGAGCTACACTAGCCAAAGTAAATTCTGAATGTCACCATCCTAACAATGTTATTTAAAAAAACAAAAAAAGAGATTATTTTTCTTTTCCATGCTCTTTCACAGTCATCTAGTGAAGGAAGATTTTACAACAGAGTAAAACATGCTGTCACGCAGGCTCAGGATCAGACAGAGCAAAGGGCTTCGGTGCCCATGTCTTGAGCACTGACAACTCCAAATATCTGATTCCAAATGTCCCATAGGGTGGGACGCACCCAGGGACCATCTCAGTGCCCTAGGAGTACTTGGCGGGCACGAGGTAACCAGACTAGTTTACAACCACTTGAGCCCTTTTTAGTGTCTGGACTCCTGCCTTTCACACACTGCTAGTAACTCATTGTTCCCAGAAATCCGTGAATTGCCCACAAAACACCAAGTATTTCTCCCCACCCCC